GATTCCTTAGCAACAAAATTAAGGTATGACACCGATAATGACCATGCATCAGAACCCTAGTCTTAACCACTTCAAACTAGGGAACAACGAAGAGAAAATTAGGAATCACATAGATGAAGACAACTAACTCATTTTTTTGCCTTGTTTCAAGATCATCCTCGGTAGACAAAGCCGAGTCTTGTCACTATCAACAAGGCATAAAAAGTAACAAGGACTAAGATGTGTTCCTTGTATTACTGAAAAATCCTGTTCCCCTAGTTTGAAGTAGTCAGGAACTAGGGAACAACGGATAGAAGATTAGGAATCACATAGATGAAGACAACTAACTCATTTTTTGCCTTGTTTCAAGATCATCCTTGGTAGACAAAGCCGAGTCTTGTCACTATCAACAAGGCATAAAAAGTAACAAGGACTAAGATGTGTTCCTTGGATTACTGAAAAATCCTGTTCCCCTAGTTTGAAGTAGTCGGGACTAGGAATCGGTGGTAGATCTTACATCCCGTAACGTACCACGAAAAGGTGATCTACCCACGTTACGGGGCAACTGATGTCTTCATTTAAGCCGGGACCTGTCGGAGTTCCTTCCGTCTTTCTCAAGCAACACATCGATAGCCTGGTGGTTCCTCTCTGCCTTCTGTAAGAAATGTCTGACAACTATCGCGGCATCACATCGTTGTGTGCCATATCTAAACTGTTCGAGTTGGTCGTTATGGAACCATTAGTCTCTCACTTCAAGCAGCACTTGAGCGAAGACCAGCATGGTTTCATGGCAGGGCGATCGACTACTTCCAAGCTTCTGTGTCTCACCTCGTACATTACGGAAAGTATGACAGACCCTATGCAAACAGATGTCATCTATACTGACCTATCAGCCGCCTGCGACAAGTTGAACCATCCTATAGCGATCGCCAAACTGGATGGGCTCGGTATAAACGGCAGTCTCCTACCTCCTGGAAGTTGCAATCGACGACTGCCGATCTCCTTCGTTCCCTGCCACTTCGGGTATTCCGCAAGGTAGCCACCTCGGCCCGTTGATATTTCTTGTGTATTTCGACGACGTCAATTTCGTCCTCGACGGTCCACGACTGTCGTTCGCAGACGACATGAAAATCTATCTCCGAATCCGAGCCATCGCTGACTGCCACCTTCTCCAACTCCGACTCAACGCTTTTGCTAACTGGTACTAACTGAGCCGCATTGTTGTAAATCCAATCAAATGTTCAGTAATCACGTTCTCACGGAAGAAACATCCAATTCCATTCAGTTATATCCTAAAAGGCGTTGACGTACATCGTGTGAATCACATTAAGGCTCTGGGAGTCAACTTAGATTGTCAACTCACATACCGCTAGCATATCTCGTACGTGATCGACAAGGCATCCAGAACGCTCGGCTTCATTTTCAGGATAGCTAAAAGTTTCACGGACATCTACTGTTTGAAGTCGCTTTACTGCTCCCTCGTCCCTGTATGGAATCCAAATTACCAAAACAGTGTACAAAGAGTAGAGTCCATTCAACGACGATTCATCTGGTTTGCCCTTCGACGATTGCCTTGGAAGGATCCTCATCGCCTTCCAAGCTACGAAAGTCGGTGCCAGTTAATTCACCTGGATCCTTTGTGGAGTCGAAGAGATACGACAATGGCCCTGTTTGTGGAAGACATTCTACAGGGCAGAATCGATTGTCTTTCTATTCTACAACAAATCGACGTTAACCACGAGCACTCCGTAACAACGCAATGCTGTGGATACCTTTTCGTCGTACAAACTATAGTTCGTATGGTGCTATCAATGGGCTACAAAGGGTTTTTAATCGTGTTGCTTCCTTATTTGATTTTCACTTGGCACGCGAGACGCTGCGTCAGAGATACCGTGATATATTTTTAAGAATTAGGAATTAAGTTGGACTACACGGCTTTTGTAGCTTGTTACTTCTTGACTATATTGTCTTTCCTAGTATTGCTTAATCCATCATTAGGACTAAACCCAGTCTGTTGATGTAGAAGCAAATAAACCAGGTACTGGAAAATAGTTGCATAAAGCTGTACTGGGATCGCGAGATCATTACGGATGTCCACATTCGTGCCAATCATCCTGAAATTGTGATCTACGACAAAAGGATGAAGCGGGTAACCGTCATCGATATCGCTAGGTACCGTTAGTTCGCAATGTTCAGTCAACGTTCCCGACCAAGATATTGAAGTACCACGATTTGGCGGAGGAGTTGAAGCAGATGTGGCACCTGTAGGATGTGCGTATAGTTTCGATGGTAATCTCAGCGACCGGAATTGTTCCCCGTACTCTTGAAGAGTTTGAACTACGAAGAGAACTGAACAGCCTTCAGAAAGCAATGATTCTTGGAACCTGTTGTATTGTCCGGTGGTTCCTGAATCATCATAACTGATCCGACTGAAGCAAACAAATTAGGATGTAGGTCAACTGACGAATGAGATCCACAGAGCCTAACCCCCTTGGAATAAAGCGAAGACAACAAATCAAGAAGACTGGCAACTCTCCCACTGTTGTGTTGTCTTCGAATAAAGCCAGCTCGGGGTAGGTTAAATTTAACAGCATTTTTGTTGAGTGCCAAAACTCTATAATTATAATAATACAAATTGAAACTTATAGCGAATTCGTTTATTATTCAGTTCCAACCTGGATCGGGTATCAAGATTGAGTCTGCTTGTTTTTTGACAAACGTCAGTTTGCTCGTTTGTTTTTAAAACCTAGCTCAGGTTGAGGTTCACACTGACAAAAAGTTCGGTTTCGCACTGGGTTGGAACTGGTGTTAACCCTGATAATAAACGAATTCGCTATTAGTTGAGATCATGCTAAGAGATCTACCATAAAGTGCCATAATTGTACGCGTCGCCAACTCCGCGCATTGTAATATTTTCTAAATTTATATTTTCCTCATACACTGAGCGATAGGTACACTAATACCAATCTTAATTCAAAATATCCTCATATTAAAAATTTGGTTTGTAATTTCAACAATGCTTATGTGCCCGAATTATGGCACTTCATGGTATTCCGCGTCCATTTCACTGCACACCAAACCGAAATTACAAATGCGCGTCAAACCCGCGAAAATCGCGTAATCCGCGTATTTGTAACAACCCTAATGGTTTCAATTTTGAACGTTAGATAACGTTAGGCATAGCTGCACTAATTAAGAAGGCAGGAGGCTGTTTTTGCGAATTTACGACATAAATGGAGATCAATTTCAACGTGAAAATCTATGCTGTTGCCCGCCAATGAAACGCGGTGCACTTCAACACAGAACCTTCAAAAGCTGCCTGGTCTTATAATTCGTGCTTGGTGGTCTCACAACTGGATCTCGAATGCTGAGCTCCACCGTATATCAAGAACAATATGTGAAAAGGGCATACAAGCTTTTTGTAAACAAACATTCTTATGCCCTTTTCTCGCCACGCATATGACACCAACGCAAACCAAAAACATCGCCGGATAGGGGAAGGTTTCCCCTTCCTGATGATGTTGTTAGTTTGCGTGGGCGACCCTCGGTTGGCGAGAAGAGGGTCTACAAAGGTTTGTTTACAAAAAGCTTGTATGCCCTTTTCACATGTGGCTCTTGATATGTCATCTGAAACCGACATAACAAACATTCTAGAACGTAAGTGGATTGTAATTCAGCGCAGGTCATCACAACAGAGGAAGATCCATGCAGGGGGCTGATGGCGATGGCATCACAACAATTAAAATAAGTTGGCAAAAATTTGACCTAGGCCCAGGTTAATGAGAAAGCAACCAGTCGTCCAGGATGGAGATCTTTCACGTTGGCCTTATGAGAGATTTTTTTATAAAGAATTCCTTAGAATTCATGTGAAAAGTGCGTTTAACTTTCTTCTTGAATTTTCTACCGAAAAGCTTATAAAACTGCACGAGATATATTTTGCCACTACAATCACTTTGGATTTTACTATGGTTATTAGAAGTTATTATCTGGAATCACTGAAGTACATATACGTCACGAAGTTTCATATAAATTGTTTTTCAAGAAAATGCACTGTTATGATTCAAGGTTGCATCAGAATTTTTACGTAAATTTCTTTAAAAAAATCTCTAGAAATGTTATTGCTTTAATTTGAAGTTATTTTTCTTGAATTCTTCATGCGAACTTTTCTTCAAAATAGAATCCTCGATAGAAACACATACAATTTGGAGAAAGTCATAACTTTACACAAGAACTACAACTACTGTGACTTCAAATAACTGAAAAATCACATTTATATGCGGGATTTGATGGCACTTCTTAGTGAATAAGTAATATAAGTAATTCAATAAAAACATACCGCATTTTGAGATGTCTATCGAACCATCATCAAGCAGCGAATTAATTGAACAATGAACTTTGTTTTTTTAAATTATTTCCCTGAAAACAGTGCACCATAATCGATCCATGGAACACCAATTTTACCCCTACATTATTGTTCGAATGCACTTTTCCAGTGGTACTGCTGCTGCTAACTGTAAATTTCCTCCTTTTCGATTTATTTACACTATTTTACACCGCGGCACGAAAAAATAGGCAGAAACAGAAAGTCCAACGATCCGAAAACAAGCAAGAAACATGATCGTCTCGTGATAGAAGAAAGAAACAATAAAACAAAACGTAGGCATATTACTAGACAGCTCGAGACTTGGGGGCGAGAATGTTTAGAAAGCCTCCCAAAATGATGGATCGCCCTCCTTCTCCAGCTGCGCGCGGTGGGGGATGTGAAGGAGGTGATGGGAAGTAAAATGTCGGAAGAATTAGACAAATTCAGCGACGGGATTAGCTTTTTCCCAGTATTAGAGTTGCAATCCCGGAAGGGCGAAATTTTACTATTTTCAATCAACTTCTGCTGGCGGAACGCAGGGGGAACACAACAGCAGTAGTGTAGTGGAAAAAAATCGATTGATTTGACCCCGGGTCCTTTCCGAGACGGGACGGAGGCGGACTGTTTATAATTGTGCGAATTGCCCTTTCATAATTACCTGATATTGATGGGATTGGTGGTACCTGTGAGGGAGAAGCAAACGGATAAAAACAAAAATTAGTCGCCACTCTTTCCCGATGATAATTAAGTAGAATCGAAAACGGCGAAGGCAAATTTCACCATCATGACATACAGAGAATAGAGAAAGAGAAAAATGAAGGCAAACTGCTTTCGCCCCGTTTTTTCCTCTTGATGTGGAGTGTCAAATTTGCCTTCGATTGTACCTCTGGGCGTCAAGAGAAATCTTCCCGATTCCGGAACGTTTTCTCGTCGACCGAAGAAGATAATTAGAAAATCAGAATTTACCCATCATTTACTAAACGCTGCGGTTTCCTGGCATGCATTACCATTTAATGCACACACTGAAAGGTTCCCGTTTCTTTTTCCTGCTTCTACTGCTTGCTGCCCCCAGTTGATACTCTTTTCTCAGTACGGCGGACCCTCGCTTCGAGAGGGCCCCTTGGGAAGAGGACACCTTTCTACCAAACACACGGATCGTCGGAAGCGATTGAATCGTCCGCGATCGAAAGCACTAGTCAGCACTTTGCCCACTAGTCCTTCTTATCAAAAAAATGAGCGTAGAAATAAAGTAGAAAACGCAAAAAATTGGGGTACAACAAAAATTGCAGCAGCCCCTCTTTTCTTCGTCGTCTTCTTCTCTCCTCTTGCTTCTGCTGTGTATGTGTGCGTACGCCTAGTTGTAGTAGAAGAGTAATGTTGGAGGAGCGAGCGACGAAAGGCTGCCCAGAAAAATTTTCTTTCTAGCTTTTCTCAAGTCCGATAGTGCGCTGTTGCTTCCGGTTCGACGGCACCAAACGAATCGGAAATGGCTCCAATCGGTTTCCCGGGGAAAAAAATTAACTTCCGCTGGCCGTTTCACGATTTCGGATCTCTTTTTTCGCGCACAGTCAAGTCTCGGAATCTCTAATACTTTTCAATACACTCTCGTCTTATTGCTACGCCGCCATCACTGCGATGTATCGAATACGCGAATGAAATAAAACTTCGCTCGGTTACTCTCCCATAATTTTCGTCGGCCACTTTGGTCGCCTATACGACGCGAAGGAGTGCAAGAGAAGAAGCGATGATGCTGTCGCTCTCTAGACGGGCGAAATTTGCGTGCCCGCGTTCGATGACAGGGCTGTCAAAATTGACAGCGCGCTAACGTCTGAATCAGATGGAATCGTTCGTCAAGTTCAAACGTCATCAGGAACAGTGGAACCCGTCGCAAACGGATAAACTGTATTTTCGTTGAAAAACCAAGGCAAAGAATTCTGATCAAAGAAATAATCATTAATAGAGATTTTCACGTTCGATATATCTCGCGTCACTTTTCAAATAGACCAATGTAACATATCCACCATTTTGAGAAAATCGAAGTTGAAGTTCGACAGATTATTATTTAAATTGCTTAGAAACAATACACGGTTAGAAATCTCCTTATACCTTTTGGCAAATTTCTATTGCTGATTATTCATAAAATGTATAAGTCAACTAATAAGCAGACGCCTTACAACCAGCTGGGTGGCATCCCTATCTTGTTTGCCTTGCCTTGAAAAGAGCTAACTTCGCTGCGGGCCCGCGAGTCGTGGGCCCCACTGACAGCTAATAATTTGTAAACAAATAGAAGATTCATGCCAGAATTTCAAAAAAGACGTGACTGATATTTTAGTTATTCTTAATATTTTTGCTTACATTTTGTGTTGATTTTCTACCACGAAGTCAACCATTTATATGGCATGAAAGGGAAAATAATTTCATTTGATAAAAATAAGACAATGCAGTCACGCCATTTTTGCAGTTCACACTTGAATTGTGACGTTTCAGATGTTGGTTTCAATAACATGGCGGCATATCACCCAGCTGCTTGCAACAAGTTAATGAAGATCATGTGTCAAATGAAATGTATAAGCGGTCACATATACCTTTTATGCATTCTTATAGAACATATGCGGTTCATCTTGTGGAATGTATAAGGCTGATGTTTTGGCAAAAATGTATAAGTGAAACACATGAATAAAATAATTGATTTTCGTTTCGTGTACATTTTGCAAAACCATTTTTAATGGAGTCAGTGAATAATAACATTGAAAATTCAGTAGAAACGATAAAATCACAATTTAACTTTGAATGTCATGCTACAACAAAGAAAAAACCACATAGGACGTTTTGACAAGTCACGTTGTACTTCGGACATGTTACATTGGACGATTTTTCTAAATGACATAATCAATGAGTGTTACATTGGACGTTTTGTCTACATGATACTAGATTCCCTTTCACAGATTTCAGAGTAGAGTATCTAACTTTAGGTTGGCCCCGCCTTTAGAAATTGAGCACCAATCATGTTAGGCAGTCCGAATGACCGAAGTAACAAACATGTACCCATCATTTCAAACTGTACATTGGACAATTTTTTACGTATGATTATCTTGAACAAAAGAAAGTAAATTTGGATGGATGTTTTTGTATCACATACAATGATAGAAGAGCAATAGTTTGTATCGCTTAACTCGATTTGTTTACATTTGTTACATTGGTCTATTTGAAAAGTGACGCGAGATATGTGAGAGCGTGTTAGTGAAAATCCGAGGAAAATAAATAACAAATCACTGTCAAACTCATTTTGACAGTTCTAGTTCCATACATTTTTAAGGTTAGTCAGAGGAAAATAATTATTAACATTGCACCCCCTAAAAATAAATACCACAGATAAACAGACATAACACTCGCAAATATTAATCGCGAGGTTCATCGAACAAGCATTTTACGGTCATCTTAAAAAGTATTGTAGTTGGTAGTACCGCCACCTGTGGCGCGCATAGTCAGTTACCTTGCGTTTGACGTTTACACACTACCGCCATCTGTTCAGCGTACTACCCAACACAGTGTACTCAACAGATGGCGGTAATGTTTTAGCAAAGAGGTTAAACAGTGAGATATATTCAATTTTTTATGTCTGTTTGTCTGTGTAAATACCATTAACCTCGCCATAAACGAACAATAACCCAAATTGGTGAACTTTTCCACAAATTGTTTGGATGATACCCCGAACACGTCGTTGAGCAAAATAACCATAACATTTTTATTAGGGCAGCGAAGCTCCCGAGTGCGCGTGCGTTAACCGTCACTATTTCTATTGGGAGATTTCAGTAAGAGCTCAGTGCAGATGTCGCCCCTGCATGATGATGATAATGCTGACAGGTAGCATATAAATTTCGTGAAAAGTAGCATTAAATCCTAATTTTGATCAAACCTGCGTGAAATCTTTCCAATATAACCTTCAAATTGAAGAGGAAAACGTTCTACCGATCAGACTGTTGTCTCTAAAAAAATAGTTATGGTTATTTTGCTTAACGACGTGTTCTGGTATAATCCTAACCATTTGTGGAATGGTTAAATCATTTGGGTTATCATTCGTTTATTTTAATTTTTTTTTTTATTAGGGGTGCATCTGTTACTTTTTCAGATGAACTTTCATATGATGTATTCATTTCATTTCACGACATCATCAATGCTGCATCGCAAATAAGTTGTAAACATTTGTGTTGTTTACAACTTATTTGCGATGCAGCATTGCTAAATTACGCAAAATAAAGTTGATTTACCATCTTGTCATCTCTTTGAAAACCATCTAGAACCATTTTTGAGAATAGTACGTGTTGAGTAAATGAAGTTCCGTTGCGTTTTCCATCCAAAATTGTGAGTATCAATATGTTTGCCTAAAAAAGATCAAAATGAACATTTATTAAATATTGGCACCGAGATTTGCACAACCCAGGCAACCATTTCAACATAAAAGCTTTCCGAAGTAAATTCATTTAATTTCCACCATTTCTATAACCTCTCCCTGTGAGTGCAAACTTGTTTTCTTTTTTTCTTTCTTTTATTTAACGTCGGTCTCTGTTCCGCAATCTAGTGCCAATAACCGACGGACATCGAATGCCAACCATTGACGGTAATCGAATGTGCAGGAAGGCAGCTTCTACATCTGCGTAGGATATCGCACCCATTCAACACACATACATGGGGCGGGACCAACTTCCCTTCCGAAGGAAGACGTGACCAGAGATTTTTATGCCTCAGAAAAATCCCACCGACCTCGGCTGGGATTGAACCCAGACCCATCGGGGTGTTAGAAAGCAGTCGCGCTTACCACTACACCACCGGCGCCGGCCGTGAGTGCAAACTTGTTTTGAATAATTTTCCGTGAAAACATCCCCAATGCAAACCGAAATAATAACAGTTAGTTTGCAAAACCAATTTCCTACGCTATTGAAGCAACAGTTTCCACGGGAAGTCTTTAGTTTAAAGAATTTGACAACCATCGAAGACAACATAGCAAGAAGACTGGCAGCTTTGCCAGAATCCAAGCGACAGATACAGTAACGCTGCACTTATTTATTTATTATTGCTTGTCATCGGATACAATATCTACCCCAATGACTATATCAAAACATACACACTTATCCAGTCAGTAATTTTTACCGAGTTTTTGGATTGCGGAACTGTTCGGTAAAATTTAAAAAACCTGTGAAAAATTCAAAGATGCGAAAATGTGTGACGAAAATTTACAGATATACTTCTGTTAACCCCGTTTAAGGATGAAAAATAAAATTTGTTGATTTTATCGAATCTTTATACCCTGGACAGACTATGGCTTATATCATGTAATATAAGCTGTCTTGCAATGAGCACTCATATATCTAGTTTTCACTGGAAATCCTATGTATGAGTGCTCATTGCAAGACAGCCTATATTACATGATATAAGCCATAGTCTGTCCAGGGTATTACGAATAACGGTCATTTGAATTTTAACCGAGTTTTTCAGTAATTCAAAAACCCAGTGAAAAAATACTGACTTACAGGAGTCAGTCTAAGAAATCTACACACTAATCGAGTCAGTACGGTTTTACCGAGTTTTTGAATTGCGGAACTGTTCGGTAAAAGTTTAAAAATCTGTGGAAAATTTATTAATGAGAAAATTTGTTCTGAACTTGTACATACTTAGTTCTGTTAACCCCATTTAATGATAGAAAATAAAATTGATTGATTTCATTGATTCCTTACGGATAACGGTCATTTGAATTTTTACCGACTTTTTCAGCAATTCAAAAACCCAGTAAAAAAATACTGACTCCTGTAAAAAAATCTTAGTGTGTAAGTGTGTACAATATTAACATTAACATCTTTTAAAACACATTGTAACAATTACTGAAAACGCGGCACATGCTCATTGAGTTTATTATTAGATCAAACTTCTGGCGTTGAATTGTGAAGACAGTTAACGTTTATACAGCTTTTAATACGAAAATTAATCAGATCAGAGCAAACAGTGGAATAAATGTGCATCTCTCGACCTCAATTAGCTTTTTTCAGCACAAATTCGACAACTCGTTTTATTCAGCATTGTACACTGTCATACAGCATTTATTCAATATATATGCTTATTTGTGACTCTGAATTGTTTGTTGGGATGATACCCGGAACACGTCGTTAAGCAAAATAACCATAACAATTTTATTAGGATTGTTCAATGCATATAGAATAATAAAAGGCGCTTGCCGATACCATCCGATTTCATCCGCTATCTATAATCTTGAGTGAGTCAGAATTATCTAACCGTTCTCTCATATAATTTTTAGTGTGTGTCACGATTTGACCAACCGGTCAGCACATTATTTATGACCGAACCTTATATTTGAAATAACGTTTCACATTCATCTATTGCACAGAGAACAGACGTTCGGTTAGAAACTTGTGTATAGTTAAGTGGAAACGTCGCCGTTACGTAGTGCTAGCGAGTGTACCCCATTAGGCATAAATACGTTAGGCATACGGACGTTAGTCATACGGACGTTAGGCATACGGACGTTAGGCATACGGACGTTAGGCATACGGACGTTAGGCATACGGACGTTAGGCATAAAGTCATTGACGTTAGGCATAATGGACGTTAGGCACAATGGACGTTAGGCATAATGGACGTTATGCATAAAATACCTTGCTGCTGTGC